ACCGGCAGGTGATTTTTGTGCATGAAATGTGTTCAGACAACTTTGCAGAAATTCGCATCATAGAGCTGGTAAAAGTTTCGAGGGGAGCATAGAGCATGAATCTGTAGTTATTTAACATGAATAAAGTGTATGTTTTGTAAGTGCAGTAACAGTGTGAGTATTTTTAATTAATTTCTGTTCGATGCTTATTCAGGCCTGCAGCCTATGGACGGCCTCTACTGTTGTTCAACACCTATAAGAACTTCTGACAAAGAAACATCGACGCGTATAATGTTGCCGACGATTCTTAACCGACGCTACGCGGTTCACAACATCAACGCCGCGTTACTCTGCAGGGTAATTGGCTCACCTTCTGCTGCAGCTGCCTGAAGGAGATCATGGCTACTTTCTTGGTTACGGGGCTGTCGTGAATGATGGCGACCTGGTTACCGAAACCACGCTCGACGTGCCGATCCACAGCATTGTAGCAGGTGTTCATCTCGCCTCCGACGAACCTATCGACACACGAGTAAAAGCAACGAGTTGCTTAATAAAGTGATTACGTCACCGTAAATAGTAAAAGTAAAAAAACAAATTTCCACTTTTTCACAAAATGTAAGTAATTCTGTTCACTTTTTACGGTTAAATTGCTGCATTATTCTTCCTATTTTACTATATTGTTTGATGTAAACATACACTCGTGACTCATACATATAGCCCATAGCAAGCAATTAATGTCACGATCATAATATCGTCCAGGTTTTTTGGATTTTTAACTAGTTGAGAAACAATCTCATCAGGTAAGAATTTGACGATACATTTAGTCCCGTTAGTACTTACTTTTAATGTAAAAAAATGGCAACAAAAATTTTACAAATATACACCATAGAAAATTCGTGACGTAGTCAATTTAAATCCTACTCGACATCAGAAACTGGCTCATTACGACTCATTTCATACGTCACTCCTAAGCATTTTCGATTTATGATTAATTCAATTAATTCGATTTACGATTAATGGATACACAGCAGAACAGCACATGCTTGTTTGGGATGCTGCCTTCTGCAAAACAGGAAGAAAAGGTACGCAGTGTCTCAGTCCCATTCAATACCATCGCAAATGCAATACCCTACGTCAAAGTCACATGTACTGCAAAAGATATTCAACTTCACTTCACCAGCCACGAGAACAAAAGGTCACACGACGAGATATAACATCTACAACATAGAAATAAGTAGGCTTATGTAGCAGCAATAAATTGAAGATAGAAATACGAGAATGCAGAACAGAAATCCGCAAGACGTTCCAGCAAGCCTACATGCTATGGAAAAAGGAGGTAAGGTGGGAAGATATATATAAAGAACAGGGGAACGGTTACGATGACGCGCACGCTCACCACTGAGTGAAGGGAGAATCGGAATCATCAAGAACCTTGTCCCACTTGCGGAACCAAGTCAACTTCTCCGCCTGTTCGCCCCAGAACTCGTCCGGATGGTCGATGGCGCGCTTGAACACTCTCTCGTACTCCGCAGAGTGGAAACGTCTGTGCTCCTCACCGTATGCTTTCATGTGGTCCTGGTGAGACTCAGAACTGAGCGCCTCTCCTCTGCAAATGTAAGGCTGGCTGGTCTGAGTAGGTATCACAAAGGCATGCGATGTCATCACCATTTTTCTTGATGAGATTTAGCGAAGGGCTATAGTTCTAGAGCTAGATGAGGTTAAGACCTACTTTAGTACAGCAGTCAAAAATAAATTTTAGTAACTCGATCTTATGCAGGGAAGGTTATGTAAGTACACTTACCTTGTGGCTGCAACCAGCGGCAATTTCTGGTGCTGTAGTATTTGTGAACATTGCCGCAGTTGAATAGCGTTAGAAGACTTCAAGCCGCGTACAAATCGCGTGGCGAATGCCATATTCCTGTAGTGCGAATGCATTTACAGCGGAGCGGAACTGGCATGAGATGCTCCAGCTAATGCAAAAAGCTGTATGCAAACAAATACAAAAACTTTACAGACCACACAGTGGCACATCTAAAGCGGGGTTGGGGATTGCACCAGTTCAGCCACTGACTATAAAATAATGTTATGATACTAGCAGGGAAAAAAATATAGTTTATTTTTCGGGGGCTACTTTTCAAGCTCGCGTGCATGAAAATAGCACTCTAAAATTTGGTTTGCATTGAACTCTATGCAAATTTACGGGGGTTCTTTTTGGCATTTCGGGGGCTAAATTGCCCCCGTGTATTTTTTTCACTGGATACTAGTAAAATGTGGCCAAAAATAAAGTCAGTCTGCAGGCTGGGAATGCCACCGGACCAAATTAACATAGCAACGCGCGTTCCTCGTGCACGCCTTCACTCAAATATCAACACCCCCGTCTCCTGAAAACTAGAGTCGCCCCGTTACCGATATCAAAATCAGTGTTGTAGGTCTCGAGGCCGGTCTTCGTATGACTCGTGTCTCTGTGTTTTCGGCTGACTATACACTTTCGAATGTCTGCAATGCACTGTTGCAGTGTATACGCGCATTACATACATTGTATAAATCGACAAAATGATGACTTAATTACGCGTAAGTCGTCATTTTCCTAAGTACGTAGGTCTCGAGGCCGGTCTTCGTATGACTCGTGTCTCTGTGTTTTCGGCTGACTATACACTTTCGAATGTCTGCAATGCACTGTTGCAGTGTATACGCGCATTACATACATTGTATAAATCGACAAAATGATGACTTAATTACGCGTAAGTCGTCATTTTCCTAAGTCGACACAAATATATGCTGGTCCCAAGTGTCGTTAAGCAATTTTACTGTACTTTCTATTTCATGCAAACAAGTGACAGCTAGATCCATGGGGTAGGAGACCCCCCCCCCTTTTGAACAAACACATACATATAGAAGTGAGTGGCCTTGTCGGTCTGTGCCCCCCTTTTTTTAATCAAAACTGGACTCGGACTCGGGTGGTGTTGACTCGGACTCGGGTGGCGCGGACTCAGGGGGTGCGGACTCGGACTCGGACTCGGGGGGGGGGGGTGCGCGCGGACTCGACTATACAACACTGATCTAATTACGACGACCGATAATACGTACGACACACCAAGTTCAACAGATAAACAAGCTCAGATTAGCTGGTCCCACGCACAGCTAGTGAGCCACTACTCCAAGAAACGGTATTTTCAAGGTTAGAATAACATGTGTATATTGACGTTATTCACACAGCATGGTCGGGTTAGTGAGACTGTGAGCCACATACAGCCACAGGCACAGGCACTTCGAACGTCTCAATTAAAAAAAAGAAGGTAAATAAACACGAAATGTATTTACTACCAAAGTCTTAACCCTACTCTATTTCGCCTATTATTGCCGATAATTACCCGTAAATGGATGTCAAATGCTCATCTGCAACACACAAACGCACACCGCACGACCGTCCTGTGCACAAACAACATGAAAAAGACTATTAAAAGAGAGTCTGTCTCTGCTCTGAACTGAAGAAGATCAACAAAGTGTAGAAACAGTCGTGCGTACCCATCTAACCCCCAGGCACCCAAGGGCGGAGGGCGACGGTAGACTGGTACTCGCTCCCACCTCGATTATTCGATGGGTGCCGAGCCTAAGCCGAGAAGTGGGACCGGGTACCAGTCTAGGAGCGACGGCTCGCCTGATTTTTTACCCTAGGTTAATCCAAACTCCACGACAGATGGCGCTCTCGCTCTGGCTCAATTCTACCAGAGCACATAAATCACCTATGAGCACATAATAATTATTATGAGCACATAATAATAGGTGATTTATGTGCTCTGATTCTACTGATTATTATCCTGAGTGTGGGAAGCACTGGTGGGAAGGGGCACTGCATGCAGTTTGAGGTTAATCAAGAACATAGGGCTCTAGTGAGCGCTGCCATTGGTTGATACAAATCACGTGCCTAACCCTAACCCTATTTAAACAAATATATTAAAAATTAAATTTTTAATTATTGTAAAAGTTAATTGTTGTTATTAAATTATTGAAAAAATAGATAAATGGATAAAGATAGAAAAATACAGAAAACAGAAAAATAATAAAAAACGGATGAGATTATATATATATATAATATATAGGAAAATAATCACGCGGGCGGCGTGATAATCTAATAATAGAATTGCTCTGAGAATATATACATATATGTATTAAATGATGTGATAATATAATATTATTTATAATTACAATAATCATGCTATATGCGATACTTATGTATATATTGTCTGAATTGTCTCATCAACAACAGAAAGCTATAATACAAGTGATGCTTTACGTCGTAACTCCACAGACTAACGGATACATAGTCTGTGGTAACTCGTAAGGATATGGGTAATTATGACAGCAGATCTCCAGCAGATCACTATTAACATTAGCTCTAGTACTATAGCCCGCGTTCAGTAACTGCCGCGTCGTTTGAGTCATGGACCTCTTTGAGAACATGGTAAAATCTCCGGACCCCTCTCCAGAAAAATGCACATAAACACGTAATTTTGCATGCGCCTCGTTCACCGACCCCTGAAGCCCATCCACGTACCCCAAAGGTGTCCATAGACTCCTGATAGAGGGGAACCCAGGGCGTGATGCTGCGAGCAAAGTGAATATTATAAATGGGAGTTTACCAAGCACACGTACTTGTCAGCCACGACCGACTCCGGTTTGAACGTTTAAGAACGGCCGAAGAAAATTGTCTTTGCAGTCAACGGCGACCGACGTCGGGGCGCCTTTCATAGCTGGGAATCGTGACGCGATGCTGCGCGCAAAGTAAAGCATGTAGATTAGATTTTACCATGCACCCGTCACCCGTGCCGTCGGCCCGCCCGCGACTAGTTTAAACGTTTCAGAATGTATATATCTATGTAAACATATAGGCGGTCTGAACCACCCGGTTCACAGCAATTCACACGCACCCCTGAACGCAATGTCGAATGAGACCATCGACAGGGGGAAAACTTTACATAGAATTCCTACAGAGGGCGCGGCAAGATCATTTCATGGCGATGATCGAAATGTTTGTTTACGATTTGGTAGGGCGTAGGGACGCAGACAACCGCTCGAGCCGCCGTCGTTTTAGTCGTCTTTGTAAGGTAGGTAGGTCTAGTAGTATATTTGTTTGTTGGTGGTGCTAATACTAACCAGAATATGGCGACATATTAATTATAGCTAATCAGTTGACATATTTCGTGCGAAATGCGTTTATGTCAACTGTTAAGTTAGCGTTGCTAGTACCGGTACTGGCTCGTATCAAATTTGAACAATCACCAACATGCGCTGTTGGTAGGGCGGTGCCCTTACTGATGCTATTCGCTTCACGTTACTCCTTCCCTTCTAAACGTGGATCTGTGCAACACTTGGCCACGTGTCGACTCGCGGCTAGGGCCTGCATACCTTCCAACTCCCATTGGTTGATACAAATATAGTTAATTTTTTAAATTAAATTGTAATTAGTGTTAGGGTTAGGGTTAGGGTTAGAGTTAGGGTCACAATTTAATGCACCATAAAAGTTTTATTAAAACAGGAGTTTCAGGCACGTGATTTGTATCAACCAATGGGATTTGGGAGGTATGCAGGCTTTAGCTGCGAGTCACGTGTCGTAATCGTTGCGAGTCACAGATTTTGGTTAATTTTGCGATTATCACTGTGAGCACTGTATAAAACCATGGGCGTGAGTGTGTGCGCGCGTGCGTGCGTGCGTGCGTGCGTGTGCATGTGTGTGTGTGTGTGTGATGGTGGGGGGGGGGTATGTCGGCATGTGTGTTTACACTTTACAGAATTAAATTCATGAACACTGTTTCATTTATTTTAAACAGTCATGGAAATATAGGTTGAACACCTAGCCAGTCTTAATCTCGAAATATATCGTCTATTAGTACTATTAATAGTATTATAAAATATAAGCTATAGTGAAGTCAATAAAAATTATTTAGTCTGGGTTAAGGTTACCGGTCCCGGACCTGGCGATAGGCTACTGTTTCTAACAATGATTTAAATAAAAAATGATTTCCTTATGTAGTATGAACACGAATCACTCGCTTATATGAAAAAAATCAACATATATTCAAAATATTCTAGTTGGAATAGTATGGCAAATTTTTCCAACTATCAAGCATGCACCCTATGCATGGGAAACTACTCTGACCCTAAGTGGTGCTACTAGCTTGTAGCACTTCATATAAATCATTATCAACTTCATGTGTCATTATTCAGTTATTGACCTATTGTCAAACTTGCATATCCGAGCTCTAGTGTGAAAAGTCCCGCAAACATCCAGTTATTTGTTCTGAAAACATGTTTCGCATAATTACTAAACATTTTAAAATGGCTATTATGAAGGTGTCTTTTAGCTGCTCAGCTGTCGGTACTTCTTTTCTGTTGTTTACTGAATAACGTACTGAGTTGTTGACACATGCGTGCATTGTGTTCATTGTTGTTACTGATATATATGGTGAGAGAAAACGATGTGCATATAATTATGATGATGTATAATTTGAATCGGTTGTAATTTGCATGTTCGTATGCATGATTATGCGTGATGGATACCGGGATACGTATAATTATTTATTCTAAATGGTGGTAACGCGCCGCAGGAAAAAACGCTGGTAACAGTGAAAAAAGCATTCCGTAATGGAAAAAGGCAATAAACGGAATTACATTACTGCAGTGCTATCTAACAGTGTGACCGGATTTAAATATTGGTTAGGCATTAAAAATGTAAGGCTAACATAACTTCATTAATTTCACTGCTCTATTGTCCCAGCTGGGAAATGAGGCTGCGTGGCTCATGTGCCAATGTTCCGCTCTGCTGGTGCAATTCCGGGCGAACCACTCTGAAGAAAAAAACTCTGGTTCTAATCAGCATGATGGTGATGCACGCGCGTGTGGCTGGCTACTCGAAAAACGCCCATTTTCCGAATGTCGACGAGGAAATTTGTCCGACGCGACTGGCTTCGTCGATGTTTGAGCCGAGAACGAAGCGGGATGCTGTGTGCAGAATCAGAATGTTTGAGAATCGAAGAGTTTATCCGTGGCGAGGTTTTATGCGCGCCGCGTTGTAGCGCGCGCTAAGTCGGTTCGTCAGTAAATCCTCGCTTGTCTCGCTGACCTTTCGCGCTATCGGCGTGGTGTCGGTGCCTCTGTTTGCCGCGCGTCATTGCCAACTACTCGCGAACAAATGTGCATGCGTGTGTGTGTGGGTGTGGGTGTGGGTGCGCGAAGGTGTCTGGGCGTGTGTGCGCGTGCGTGTGCGTGCGTGCGCGCGTGCGTAGGTACTGGCGTGCGTGCTGGCGCGGTTGTCACGCGCTACCCCAGCACATCCGGGGCGTGCGTGAGACGCATGTGTGCTGTTTGTGCAGCTATTGGGAATGACAGTATGTAAGGGAAGATTGTAAACAACAGACCGCTCAATAGGTGGTGAATTCTCCGTGGAGATCTGCCGGTTAGCGGAGATAACGCTAGTGATGTCGCACTCAGATTGCCCACGGTAATCATATGCCCCGTGTCTATGAACAAGTAATTATCAGGAGCTTAATTTCGTTTTGCATTACCACGTGGGTGGCTGGCTATACGGCACGTTATATGACCTCCGTGGTTGGCCATGCGTGCGCGCGTGTGTGTTCGTGTGCGTGTGCGTATGTGTACGTTAGTGAAAGCCTTGTCTACTTAGTCCTCGCTAGACCGACTCTTAACGTCGCCATCGCTGCTGCTCGGCCAGTATTAATGCCAACCGTTGTGTCTACTCGAGTCAGTCTAAGTCTTCGCTTTCGCCGCGTTGCCGTGTCTCAGCATCATCCTTCACTAGGTGGGCTTCCCACTCACGGAGCCTCGCATCCCTCAGCATCTTTCACACCTGCAGCTTGGACTATTCCTTGCCTCTTCACTGCACACTGCATCGGTGCATCGAAACAGCAAAACGCAGCTAATATAGCGCCGAGTGCCGCGCTGTAGCCTTCCTACCCTCTCCCCAACTCACCGAATGTTGGTGGCAGAGGCAGGCACACTTTGCCGTCCCACCCAGCGTAGCGTCACCTGTCAGGCCGAGGGTGGATGCAAGACAGATGCCCCGTACCCTAGGTACAGAACCAGCGACTATCATCCCAAAATAACCTACGACAAGTTATACGCTGATCAAGTTACGTGTGCTCAGGGGTGTTGGGCTCAAACTGGGGCACAGGGGAGAAGATGCTGCTGATGCTGCTGCTGCGCGGAGCACCGCAGCCTCAGTACCACATTCTAGGTGTGGTCGTTGTGCTGTGCAGGCGGGTGCTATAGAACGTCTATATATATATATATATATATACGTAATAAGTGGGGCCATTTGAAGAGCGTTGTGGTGAGTATATGCGATTATTCTGTGTGTTAGTGTGGCTAGGATACGTGTGTCTTAGGGACCTTCTAATA